TACCCACTAAAAAACCTGTCTCCTTCCCCTGACCGCAGGAACTACCTTTTTGAGGTATAGCTTCTTTGGTCAGGTTTATCTTTTCTTCTATCTATCTCTCTTCTTCCTCCTTTGTCATCATTATTTCCCTTATGAAATTGTGTAAGCAGTTCCACGAATCTTCATTCTCTAGCATTATGTCAACTAAATCTATTATTCTTATATCCCTTTTCAGTTCCTTCTCTACTTTTTCTCTGTTTACTTTCCATCTATCGCATTGGATTATTGTATGTTCAACACTGTCCTCATCTCCACAATACCTACATAGACTATCATTTCTCAAATGGAATCTTTTTTAGGTAATTATTAAAGCACCCATGACCCGTTAAAACTTGTGTTAGGTAATATTCCACTCTGCGATGTTTACACGTGATCCACTTTTTTATATTTGGTATTAATCCTTTTGTCCATGTCGCTTTTCCTGTGCCCCTTTCCCAAATCTCTTGCCATTTGCGAATTGTGTTTTCCCTTTCTTCGTTTTTTTCTCTCACCCAGCTCTCTTTCCTTGTATAGTTTTGTTCGTTCCTGTATTAGCAGATTTATCGGTACTATTCCAGCGATTACGTATAGGGCCTCCGTGGAGGCAGTTCGATAGGCTCCCACTACTCTCAATAGTATCTGCCTCTGCACACTGTTTAGCAAATCCTCGTACTTTTTCATGTTTAAAACGGAGCTCCAAACGGGTGCCCCGTATGCTATAATAGACTGAGCAACGCCATAGAGTAACCGTCGTTTTGCACTTGTTGGACCCCTCGTATTTGGCATGAGCCTCATCAGCACCCCTGTTCTTTCCTGTGCCTTTTTACCTATTTCCCTTATGTGTTCTGTAAAAGTAAGCTTTTGATCTAACCATACTCCCAAGTATTTTATCTTCGTTTTCGGTTTCAGCCGTATATCCCCCACTCTGATGTCCATTTCCCTTCCACAGAGTCGCCCTTTAGCCACGACTACCTCGGTTTTTTCTGGTGCCATTTCCAATCCGTTTTCCTTCATCCAAACCTTTGTATCCCATAGTATCATATTTATTTTGTGTTGTAAATTTTTTAGGTCCTCCGCGTTAACCGTTACCGCAAGGTCGTCTGCTTATGCGATCGCTTGACACCCCTCCGGGAGTTGTACTCTTAAAACGTCATCGTACAGTACGTTCCACAGCACCGGTCCAAGTACCGATCCCTGTGGAACGCCCTGAGACATGAACACGTTTTTCTTCCCCACCACCAGGTTTCGCCCACTTAAGTAGCTTTCTATTATAATCCTTATGTACATACTAATGCCCATCCCTTCCAACCTTCTAATAATCTTACTCCACGTCGCCGTATTAAAAGCGTTTTTTACATCAAACAATACAATCGCACCCCATTTCTCTTTACTTTCTTTTATGTTCTCCACCACCTTTATAATTGCGTCCGTTGTTGATCTTCCTTTTCTAAATCCATATTGATGTTCGCTCAGACATTTTTTTCGTTCTAGCTCATCCTCCAGCCTGGCCTTTATTAGATGTTCGTAAACTTTTCCTAATACATTCAGTAGACAGATGGGTCTATATTTCGTGTTTGACGTGCTCGATTTTGGAATTAATGCTACTTTCGCTTCCTTCCACCTAGTAGGGAAACTTTGCGAGGCTAGTTCCTTGTTCATTATTTTCAAAATTTCTTCCGGGTATGTTCTTATCGCCGCCTTAACCGATTCCGGAAGGATCCCATCCGGTCCCGGGGCCTTTTTTGCTTTTAGTTTATCACCCGCTTTGTGAAGTTCCTCCGTCTTGAATTCTGTTATTTTGCCTACCGGCGCGTGTCGGATAACGTAGTCTTCTTTTTTCGGAAACAGTTCCCTTATTATCTTCATTTTCTCTTCCTGATCGCGTAATTGAGGGGTTTTATATCCTGTGATCTTTTTTGTAACAATTTTATATGCCTGGCCCCAAATATCCTCCTCCAATTCCTCACATATCTCCTTCCAATGTTCCCTTTTTGAGCTTATGATTGCTTTCTTGTATTCTCGGCGTGTGTTTTTATATTCTCGTTCTAAGTAACTTACCGTTTCCTCTCCTCCCGTTTTTCTTGCTTTAGTTAGTTGTCTTCTTATCTTGTTGCATATCACTCTATTTTCTTCGATCTTACTGTTCCACCAATATGGTTGAGACCTATTTCGGTTATTACAAGTGTGTGTTCTCTTTGTCGCAACGTCCTGTGCGGATCGCATAGCTTCCGAAAAATCTGTGAGGTCCATGTTATTTCCCACTAGTATACTTAGCGTTTCTATATAACTCTTTTCATCCAGATAAATATTGTATGGCCTATTTTCTTGTTTGCTGACCTTTTTTTCCTTGTTTATTTCGTAAAGTATATATTTATGTAAACTCAGTGATTCCTCGCTTAGAACTTCCCACTTTATAATATCTTTTAACATATTTTCGGAAACTATGGATACGTCTATGAAAGAGTTCGTCTTTCCTCTTACAAAGGTAGGTTTCTTTCCATCGTTTAGTGTCACTAGTCTAAGATTATCTAACCACTCTAAGAGATACTCTCCCCTCTGATCATTTCTTACCGCACCCCATCGTATCGCCTTCGCATTTAAATCTCCAGCAATAATGATATGCTTCTTTTCGTTTCTCGCTTCATTCATCAGAGTATCTATGTAATTTTTGTAATCTTGCAGCCCTATATTTGGTGAACAGTAACAATTAAAAATGATCACATCTTTTAGTACTAGTTTTATGTACCCCTTTCCCTTTTCCACTTTTTTAAATGTAACGTTTCTGTTCTTTAGTAATATTGCTACATCAGTGTTCATATCGCGTATTAAGTTCATGTTTTCACTCGTTTTTTTGTTTGGTTCTTGAAACAATATCATATCAGCTCCTGTCCTCTCTGCTGTTTTTATCGCTATATTCTGCGCTAATCGTGACCTGTCTATGTTTATCTGTAAAATCTTCATTTTACCTTATTTTATTTGTTATTTATTTTTATTTAAAATGTATGTACAATTACCTTACCAACTATATACTTTTTTCTTCTTTTTTTTTTCTTTTTTTCTTCTTTTTTTCCCTTCTATTTATTCTAGCTGTGGTTGTTTTTCTGTTGTTTGGTAAATGGGAGTGCCGGTAATCGACCCTCTACTTCCCCTTCTGATTCTTTCCCTTCTCTCGAAAACCAGTTTCCTCATAACAGGACAGTTCATCGAACTTGTAGTATGGCCTACCGCATCGCAAGACATACAGAATGGATCGCTTTCACACTCTTTTTGTAGGTGTCCCTCCTTTCCACATCTCAGACAACTGTTCTTCCTTTCCTGCCCCGTACATTCTATAGCCCTGTGTCCGACACCCCAGCATTTATAACATTTTCCTACGTTTACCCTCTCTTCCACCCGACAGTTAACCGGACCTATCTTAATGATGTCTCCCAAATTGTAACCTACCGATTTATCCACAACAAGGGTAACCGCCTGGGTTCCTCTCACCGCCGGTCTTAATCTAGATAGTGAAAATTCAACATCCCCTCCTAATTTGGTTCTTACTGCATTTTCCACTTCTACTTCTTTAGCAAGCTCGTCGATATCTCTGATATTGAAAACCATTTGCCTTCTTCTCGGAACACTAAAATTTGCTTTGAACTCAGTCTGTTCACTAAGTATTTTCTTTAACCTATTTCCCCCTCCTGCCTTAACCTTTATCATCAAGTCTCCATTGTTTGTTTTCTGAATTCTTCTAACATCGACTTCCGTACTATCAAATTCTACCTTTGTTTTAATTGTCTTTAGCATATCCGCGTATGATCCCTCGTTTCCTTTTTTTACAATGACCGTATCCATTTGGAACCTTGTTGCTTTCATTTGTTTGTCCATTGGTGTTATAATATTGTCACGATTGGGTAGCGCCACTGGTGGCACCCCGGTAAGGGTCAACCAACCGTCAAGTATTGGGTAGCGAAGCACGGATCTTCGTACGTGCTGCAGAAGCACGCATTGACCTTGCTCCACGGTAAAGCGGAAGCAAAGTCGACGCGGGCAACTGCTTTATAAGCGGTGGGTTGACCTGGCTCGGGGAGTCAGTTGAGCTCCAGCGAGGGAGTCAGTTGAACTCCAGTAAGGGGACTGGGTAGGTCCAGTAGGGGACTCCAGTAGGGGAGTCCGGGGACTCCAGTGGAGGGTCCAAGGGACTTCCAAGAGTCGGGAGTACAAGTGGGGTAAACTCCGTGACAAAGCCCCAACCGCTAAGGGACTATTGTACGGACTGCTATAAGTAAGCCAGTTACTGTAAGGATAAAGTTGTTATTGTTGTCTACTACGTCGAGTTATTTCCATCCCAGCACTGTGGGTTCGTAAACCTAGACCCCCTAGCTTGGCATAAAACAAAGGGTTGGACAACCAACACCCCTTTAACGTGACAATATTTGCTTTAGTTTTTGTTCTTCTGCATGCACATTCCAATAATTTATTTAGTTTATCTCTGTCCAGTTCATTTGTCACTTCTACCGTCACCTCATTTCCTTTTTTCTTACATCTTTCCAAAACATTTTTTGTCAGATCTTTTCGTTCCTGCTCTAGATGTTATTGTTTGTGAACTACACATCTCTTCCTAGTCCCCTTTGTTTGTTTTAATCATCTCCTTAAATCCCGGAAAAACAGCTTCTAGCTCCATTCCCTCCTCCTCTGGGATTTCCCGTCCATTGTCGAAAAGATACACAAAAATGTTTTCCTTGTATGTTTCGTTACTCCTCGCCTTCTCGTTTATCGATTTATAGGTCATACGTGGCCAGCGTTTGTCTAAAAGTGGTTCTAAGTCTCGATATTCGTTCACCCGATCTACCTGTTCGCTAATTTCCTTGCTTTCCTTCTCCTCTTCGTCCTCATTTCCTGAAAGATAAGTTTGGGTCCCTATCGTACAGGTTTTGACTTCCTTCCTTGGTTTTTGTGTAGAGGTCGAAACCTCATGTTCCTTTACGTATCGCTTCAGCCTATTTGCTTTTTTCCGTTTGTAGTTTCAGCTCCCTGATCTCATCTTTGATCTCCACCTTTGTATTAGTGTTTTCTCCTATGAGCTCCATTAACCTTCTTGCCTTTCCATATATCTTATCGAAAAGTTCCATGAATTCCTCTAATTCCGTTCCTTCATCCTCTTCTCTTTGTCTCTTCGTACTTCCACTAAACGAGCTTGCTCTAACAATTACTTCCTCCTTTAGTTTCCTCATCGGAGGGGGCGTTTTCATTATTTTCGGCCTTTTTTTAAAAGCTTCCTCTTCACCAACCAGTTCCAAAACTTCTTCGTCCTTTCCTTTTTCTTTTGTTTTTGTAGTAAATTTGTCCATTCGAATTCCACGAGTTGGGACACCTTAGGTTGCGGCCCATTAATTCCAGTTTTTTTTTCAGGCGCCGGAAACTCGCCATAACCCTTCTCCGTTGGCTACGAGACGTACTGCAGCAGCACGCCGCGCATTACCAGGGACCACCACGAGGAGGTGGAGATAGGATTCCGGTTCGTCCACACAGGACTGCGGGCTCAGCGTTTTTTGCACGGTAAGTATGGGCACCCTACCGCACCCACTGAGACCCACTGGGTCAGCCCAGACTTGCTTTTACCAGAGAATGCTTTTACGCACACCCCCGCAGTTGGTCGGCGGGGGTAGTGGGACTCCAAGGTTGCATAATACCCACTAAAAAAAAAAAAAAAAAAAAAAAAAAAAAAAAAAAAAAAAAAAAAAACTGCACTCTATCCGTCTAAAAACATATCGGAATTGTCTTTCTATGACATTCGTCGATATGCTTCGGACTTTTCCATTTTTCTCATTGGTGTTCGACAAATTTCAGTTTCGTGTCTAGAAATCCCTAGATACTTAATTTTATCTGACGTTGATATTGTCAGTCCTCCAATTTTTAGATTTATGCTCTTTGGTCGTCCTTTCTTTAGAACAACGAGGGCTTCCGTTTTTTGTGGAGATAATTTTAAGCCGTTCTCTTTTAACCATATCTCGATGTCTTCTAACGCGTGGTTTGTTTTCTGTACTAGGGACTCCTCATTTGACGCTTTGACAACCAAAGCCAGGTCGTCAGCATACGCGACTGTTGTGCAACCTTCAGGTAACTTTATTCTTAATAGTCCGTCGTATAGGATATTCCACAACAGGGGTCCGAGAACAAACCCCTGGGGAACACCCTGTGTCATGTATAGCCATTTTTTTTGCACCCGTGATCAGCTTTCGGCCAGTGAAGTAGTTCTCGATTGTCGTGACTAAGTAATTACTAATGCCTAGTTCTTTCATATTTCGAATTATCAAGCTCCATGTAGCCGTATTAAACGCATTTTGAATATCGACTAGCCCCACTACTCTCCAGTTTTCTTCGCTATTCTTCACACAGTCCACAACGTATTTTATTGCGTCCACTGTGGATTTGCCTTTCCTGAAACCGAACTGGTTACTCAGGGCTTCTTTTTCGTTTATTTCGTCCTCGATACGGTTCTTTATGAGATGCTCGTAGAGTTTGCCTACTGTGCTTATCAAGCATATAGGCCTGTATTTCGTATTCTCTTCGCCCTTGCTCGGTTTGGGTAGTAGGACTACTTTGGCCTCTTTCCATATATTTGGAAAGCTTTGTTCTTTTAGCACGTTGTTCACTATGTGAAGAATTTTCTGTGGATGCGTTTGTACAGCAAGCTTAACTGCCTCTGGGGAGATGTTATCCGGGCCCGGAGCTTTTTTTGTTTGTATTTTCGCTGTGGCTCTGTGCAATTCTTCGATTGTGAAATCGGTTACGTTGGTGATATTGTAACTGCGGGGAAAGTGATCGTCTCTCCTCGGGAATAACTCCTTGATTACTTGAGACATTTCCTCCTGCGGTAGTGATCCCTGTCTCGATAAACCTTCTATTTTTTTTGTAACTATTTTATAGCCTTGCCCCCAAATATCTTCTTCTACCTGGTCGCATAGCTTTTTCCATTCCTGCTCCTTTGATCGTGCAATAGCTTTTTTATATGTTTTCTTGATCTCCTTGTATTTGTTTTCCAAAGTCTCTGTGTTTTCACTCTTCTTTCTTGCCCTTAATACCCGTCTTCTAAGTGAGTTACAAGAATCTCTTAGGTTGCTTATGGTGTCATTCCACCAGTACGGTTGTTTCCTCGAATTTCCGCCTTTAGTGTATCTAGTGGCTACGTTTTGAGCTGAGCTTATCGCTTCCGTTATATTGACAGCATCCGGTTGTTCATTTATACAGAGTGTTAGTGTTTTTGCGAAAGTTTCTTCGTCTATGTAAATTTGCTTCTTCAGTGTCATGTTAGGTTTAGGTGTATGTTTTCTTATCTCGAATATTATATATCTAGAGAGACTAGACTAGAGAGTAGAGAGTAGACTAGAGAGTAGACTTAAAGACTCTTCTTCCAGAACTTCCCAATTAGTAATTTTCCTTGCTAATTTCTCCGTAGCCATAGTGATATCTATAAATGATTCCGTGTTTCCTCTCACGAAGGTGGGTTTCTTACCATCGTTTAGCACCATAAGATTTAATGACTCCTGACACTCGATTAGGTATTCCCCTCTTTTGTCTCCTTTTTTGTGATCCCATTTGTTATCTTTCGCGTTGAAGTCTCCTGCGATTAGGGTGTCTGTGTTTTCTTTACTTAGGTCCTTCATTAATTCGTTGATAAATTTCTCGTATTCACTTTTTGGAATATTCGGAGACGAGTAGCAATTGTAAATTATGAGGTCTTTTAATACGATCTTTATATAGCCATCTTTTTTGATACATTTAAATATTTGCAGGTTTTTATTTATTACTATCGCTGCTGTGTCGGTTTTTTTATCATGCATGATGTTTGTGTTTTGTGTCTTTTTCTTGTTAGGTTCTTGTAATAATAGATCACATCCCGTGCTCATTGCAGTCGCTATTGCCGCATCTTGCGCCTCTCTCCCTCGATGGATATTTATTTGGAGAATTTTCATTTTAACTTGCTACTTTCAATAAATATGCAAATAAATAAAATTTTTTGTATAATGTGTGTATAGAGTAAAAAGTTTGTATATATGTAAATAAAATTGACTGGTGATCTAATTTGCTGTACTAACAGGGGCTTCGAGAGGGTTTGGTGTCTCTTGCGTAGGTGTGCCGATGGAACTACCAACACTCCTGAATCTTTTCCGTCTTTCGAATATTTCACTCCTTGTTATTGGGCAATTCATTGAATTTGTCATGTGTCCTTCGACGTTACAGTTCATGCATTTCGGATCGTTTTGGCAGGTACTTTGTATGTGCCCCTCCGAGCCACATCTTCGGCAACTATTTTTCCTTCTTTCCTCTTCGGTACATGTGGCTGCCTTGTGCCCGACTCCCCAGCACTTAAAACATCTCTTCTGGTTCTTTCCTCAAGTCGACAGTTTATCATGCCTATTTTTACCGTGTCCTTTATTTTGTGCGCCGCGGCTTTATCCACTGCGAGGGTGATCGTTTGTGCTCCTTGTGCTGCTGGCCTTAGTTTAGATAATGTGAAATCCACGTCCCCCAATTCCGCCTTTACTGCAGATTCAACTTCCTCCTGGGTGGTAACCGCATCAATCCCTCTAATGTGCCACAATTTCCGTCTTCTCCTTGGGATAGTCGATCTCGCTGTCATATCCGCCTTCTTTTCAATGAGCTCCCTTAGTTTAGAGCCGCTTCCAGCCTTTACTTTGAACAGTAGGTCTCCTTTATTGGTCTGATGCACTCCCCTTATGTCTAGGTCGTTACTATCCGTACCCACGTCGTTTTTTATCTTTTTTAGCATCTCTGCGTAAGAGCTTTCGGTCTTTTTCACCAGTACAGTATCCATTGCTATACCTCTTTTCCTGGCTTTAATTATGTCTGCCGGTGTCAGAACTTTTGCCACGATTTTCTTTTTTCGACCTAGACATTCGATAAGTTTCATTGCTTTTTCCCTGTCCGCCCCCTTCGTGAATGCTACTGTAATTTCTTTAATTTTCTTGTTTCCTATATACTGTATTTGTTCTTCCATGTCGTTGTATTCTTTTTCGTTTGGTATGGTTCCAGCATCTATAGGTATTATTATGAGGTTCTTCTCCGTTTTAATCTGACCTGCCCGAGACGATACAGTCTGTGTGCTCCATATAACTTCGGCTAACCCATTATTTGTCTCCGTAATCTCTTTCAATCACCGGATTTACCGAAAAACGTTTCCTAAGAGCTCTATTGTCTTACGGTCCGTCCCTTCGTCCTTGCCTAGCATTAGCATATAATTGTTTTTTTTATAGGACTCTGTAGTTTCCTCAATTTCCTTGACGAAATTAAAGGTTTCCCGAGGCCAGCTCCTTCCTAGTATGTCTGCGTGCTCTTCGTAGCTATTTCCTCTATCAATGTATTCGCTTATCTCCTTCGCGTTTTTGAGACTCTCTGTTTCATCTCCAGAGAGATAGGTTTGCGTACCCATCGTTCTGGTTGATACCTTTTTAATACGCTTTTTCTTCCAAAAACCTGTTCTTCGGTTACATCTGTTGTATTTGTCTCACTGTCTTTACTAATTTTTTTATTATTTGTTTCAGGTTCATTCATTGTGTTCCCACGAGAAGCTAGGGAAAAAATCGTCCACTCCTGCAGAGCCCCGCGTGCAGTAGTAAGGCTACTCTACTCCGGGAGGTCGCCTGGTATCCCGGAGGCTCCGTTCGAGACCAACTAAACGCATGGCCATCCACCCATCGGCACGGGTCGCGTGACACCTTGGGTTGCGGGTTATTTTTCTTTCGGGGTTTTCCTTCCCCTAGGCCTATGTACTCCGGGATTTCGGCCGGTATCCCGGAGGATTTTTTTTCAGGGTTTTCCTTCCCTTTTTTTTTCACTGAGGGGAAACCGCATGGCACCTGCTACTTGGCTCTATGTAGCAGGTAGTGTCGGGTGCTACTCCGACAAAAACCCCTCTGATCTTCCGTCCAACTTCCGGAACCATCGTTTATCGGCATATCTTCAGTCAGCTGGACTTTTCATCCTCTTTTTCTTTATTCTTTTCCTATATACCCCAAAACAGCCGTGTCCTGTCAGCATCTGTGTTGTGTAGTAGTCTAATTGTCTATGTTGACAATTTAGCCACCCTTCTAAGTCCCTTATTAGTTCTTTCGTCCATTGGCCTTTTTCAACATTCCCGTTCCATTCCTCTTGCCACTTCCTGATAGTCCTTGATCTTTCCTCTTTCTTTTGTTCCTCATCCTTACCTATGTTCCTTTCGAAAATTCTCTTCCTTTCTTCGGCCATCAAGTGTATGGGTATAACTCCCGTTATTACCTGGATTGCTACC